ACCAAACTTCCTCCCCTCCCTTTTTACATGAATATTCTGAGTTTTTACTGTAGCTATTCATAGTCATACCTAAATGTAGTCTATAAATCTACTAATATATTATTTAACACTCTAACTACTGGTATAAAAAATTATAAAATATTCTGTTGGCAATACATTTAATTGAATTCTTTTTAGAGACAGCTTGTTACTGCCAGACATGCTTTTAGAGATAGTACGGAGAAATAAAAGAATTCCAGAAGGCAGTAAAACAAATAATCACCATTTTCACCATTACTTCCAGATACCCTCCTATCCAATCACTAAATCCTTTAAGTCTAAATCAAAGAGTTTCTGTGAACAAAATTGCACAGATCATTTCAAAGAATATAAAAATTACGTTGATGTTTTATTTGAAGAGAGAAATTGAAATTCACAGAGTACTCTACTGGCTGAGAGTCCGGGGAGTTATTAAAGGAAAAACAGAAATAAACCAGGCTAGTTTAGCCTGAACTTTAGAGACCTGTTTCAAAACGATCAGGGTCAATGCAAATCCCTCTCTTAATTACACTATTCTTGTGCCTCTAAAAGTTTGAGGCATTGTCCTTCTTCTTAGTCTCTCTGCTGATTTTTAATATCAGGTATCTGCAAGATTCTCTGAGACGTAGGAGTATAAATAATATTATAAACCATTCAAAGCAAACACTGCCTTTTATTCTTTTTATTACTTTTTTCCCCAACAAAGCAACTTACACATTTGGTTTGAACTACCTCAGCACAACTCCTAATGAGAGAAGTATCTGTAGGGGTTAGTGAGGTTTTTTTCATTGTAACGTCTGAACGCTGACAGATCTGCTGAAAAGAAAAGAGGTCAGTAGTGCTGCTCAGCCATGGGACAGGGATTTTCAGCTTCCACTGGTCACACACTTCAGTTTGGTGGGTGCCAGGATGACAAGATTTGGGGACAAGCAAGGAATTAGGCTTGCCCCACCACATCCCGTGCCAGGAGGCTCCTTACCCGGCACAGCCCCACTGAGGCACGGACAGGCTTTGGTCCATAACTGGTTAAAAATTGACTGGGTCCAGGGTGGGGTGGGAGGTATTTATTTGCAGCTGGAAAACTTTAGGATGAATTTTCCCTTTTAAATTTAAGATGGGGCAGAACTGATGTGGGGCTGTGAGTGCTCAGTGGAATGGGGACAGTCCTTACGCACCTTCCGAGAACTGCTGTTTATGCTCAGCCAGTTTGGGAGATCAGGCAGGAGACAGGCAAGTATCTTGCTCCTATGTGGCAAGAAAGTAATTTTTGACAGGCAAGTCTACACTGTCTCCTGTCAGCAAGCAGATCTGCCAGTTATTTGGATCATTTTGCCAGAATATTATCCTGGGGGTTGACGTGCACACAGCGTGGATGTACACCCTCATCAGAGCAGCTCTTCTTGTAGGGTATTCATCCGAGGGCAATTCAGTATCCCAAACAGGACGGCTGGACACGGCACGGGGGTTAAAACGTGTCCTCAGGCCGTGAAGGGAGCCGTGGCATGGCATGGAAGCACTGAGGGCTGGCCAGCCACACACCCCTCCACAGCCCCTGGCTGTCCCTCCCTCCATCCAGACTTCATCCCTCTGGTCCTGTCCTCCAGGGCACCCTGTGCTTCCCTTCCCAGCACCCATGCAGATACTGGCAGATGCCAAGTGGTATCTGCAGCCACCTAAAGCCACTGCAAAGGAAGTAACACAGACTGGGCCGGGGGCTTGTGGCCAGTGGGCTCAGTGGGAGCCAGGCCGGGCGAGGGAGAGGTACAGTCAGGTGTGCCCAGGGCGTGCTGGGACAGCCAGGTTTTACCACAACATTCAAGTTTTTCCACTTCCAGCCCTTTCCCTTGCAGTAAATACCGAGTTAGAACACAAACACTCAAATTTACAAGAAAAAAATAAAAAGAAAGCAAGAGAAAGGAGCCCCAATGAGCATTGCAGCACCCCACTCCCTGCCATTCCCAGAGGCCCAGCTGCTGCTCCCTCTTCTCCTCCCGGTCGGAGCCCATGCCTCTTCCGATACCCAGGAAAACATTTTGTTCTGCGTTAAAGGCTAAAGCTAACACATGACCAGCAAGAGGCAGCAGTTTGTTTAGCTCTTGGAGTTTATTTTAATTGCGGCCTTGTTTTGTAATGAGGACGGCTGCAGCAGGGGGAGCCTGCTGGGATCCGGGGGGCTGTTCCAGGGGATTTTCCTTATCAATAAAAAGAAGTCTCAACTATTTAAATTAACAACAACTGCATGGCATGCATGCTCAGCTGCTTTGTTTTCTGGGAAGTTAAACTGTACATAATTGCTTATTAAGGATTTCAGTGGCTGGCTGGGATCACAAGTCCCCTCCAAGTGCCATCTTTTACATCCCCAACATCCACCGGGGAGGAATGAAGACGAGAGAAACGGGCCCCATGTTCATGCTGACAGACATAAAACAGCCTGGTAAACCTTAGTAGTTTGTTATGATGATGCATGAAAAAAAGGAGGAAAAAAAGTAAAATCATGTGATTTCTATGCAAATCAGATGAATTGGACGGTTTAAAAAAACCTTAAATGTCAGGTAGATAAGATCACATACACCTAGAGCAGTGTCATGATGTTCTCTGTACATTACATTCATACTGGAAACCAAAACGTGTTACAGAAATCAGACACCCACAAAAAGCTCTGAGATTGCACTGAGAACAGGTTCCTGCAAAGCACCGGCCTCTGACAAAAAAAAAAAAAAAAAAAAAAAAGGCAAAAGAAAAAAAGTAGGTTAGATTAGAAAACAAGATAGCTGAATTCAGGCAGGGACTCGGCTGTCCCTGCGCAGCCTGGCCTCGCTGCATTTGCATTAATGTGCACAAAACTCCTTTTAAGTAATGTTCATGCGGTGGCACCCAGCTCCAAAATGGGCAGGCTGTCCCTGAAACTCATCCTCATGCAGTGGCACCCAGCTTCAAAACAGGCAGGCTGTCCCTAAAACCCATCCTCGAGGGCCACAGCGAAGGAGAGAGGTTCACAGGCTCTCTTCTGTCAGGCTAAACTTTTCTCTCTTAGACACATTTTTTTTTTCCCTTTAAAAGTCCTGGCAGTTATTTTTGTGTGAAGATGGGGAAGCCTTATGGCCTGAAGGAGTTAATTTCAAAAGAAAAAATTATAGTAAGGTATTGTTTATTTAAGCAGTGTTTTGTAGAAGACAAGGCATTTCTTTCCAAGGGTGCGGTTCACCTGGGAAAAATACGCACTGGCCTCGATATACCATAAAAACCTGCTCTGTGTCCCCTGGAGGGAAACGACCCAAGCCCAGGGACTCCCCTCACTGCCAAGTAGCACCTCCAGCTCCGAGGCCCTTCAGCACTCAACTGCAGCTCCCAGGGATGGCTGAATAATTTCACACTGCTCTGTGCCCTGCACGCCAGCACACAGGCAGAGGGGTTGTTTTTCATCTCAGGAGCTTTGCCAGGGGAGGACATGAAGAAGCTGGAGAGGGACAGTCCGTGGGAGGGTGTGAGGCACCTGTGGCAATGCCCAGCACTGCTCCTGCCTCTGCTCCTGCTCCTTGGAGCTGCTTCAGTGCGACCAGAAATACCCCTGCCAACTCCAAGGGGGACCATTTCCCAGCAGCATCATCCCTGTGCCAGCACTGCCACCACTTTGAGGGGTGGCACTCAGGGGTTCAAACCCTTGCCTGGGCGAGGAGCTCTCTGCAGCATAGAGGGTGTTTTGAGAGAGGGGTGCATGGGGCTGACCCCCGCAGCGGGGTTGCCACAGCCTCCCACAGGCAGGGCCGAGCTGCTGCTCCTCCACGTGCCACACAGGCACCTCGTGGGTGTGCAGGAGCCACGCCGAGCCCGGGGCCGCTGAGAAACGTCCCACAGCCGACGTGGGGCCGCCGGCGGCTTTGCACACTCCCACCAGCCACCCTCCCCACCACGGGGCCGCCGTTGTCCCCCAAAGAGAAAGCACTTGCTGTCGCTTGCAGAGGCAGGGGAAGCTGTCCCACCGGGACATTGCCACCCTGGCAGCCACCACCACTGCCAGCGGCGGCCGTGCAGGCCCCCAGAGCTCGGACAGGCAAAGGAAGAGGGTGTCAAGGCCGCATTCAGCAGAGATTCCTCTGGCCAATGGTGGGAGAGGGCTACCAGGAAAATTACTCCATCCCCAGCTCCCTGAAGTCCCCAGTGAGGCAACACAGGGACCGCTGTTGGTTTTGGGGCAGCAGGAAGCAGTGGGGAGCAGAGGTGGGTGGCAAGAGCCTGTGGGTAGCTGCAGCCAGGCCCTGAGTGACAGCGAGGGAGTAGGAGAAGGTATGACACCAGAGCAGAAAGGCCAAAACCTCAGCAAAGGCGCCCAGGCCGCTCAGCTCCCAGTCCGAAAGGGATGCTGCTGGCTGCTCCCTATGTCCCCGCAACGAGGCGGGTTAGGATGGAAACTCTGATGTAAGCCCGGCTTGGCTGTGGCCAGGCAGAGTGAGAAATCTCCCCCGTAAGAGTGCTACTTGAACGGAAGCTGTGCTCGACCTCGGGTCTCCACCAAAAATCCCCCAAGCGGCAGCCCTGCTGCTGCTGCTCCCGAGCGTCCCGCGGGCGCTGGGCTCGCTGGGCTCGCTGGGCTCCGGCTAAAGCGAAAGCGTCACGCACTGCAGAGAAATGACAAACAGAACAGATCTGTCGATCCCAACAACCCCCTTCCTTTGGGTTTCATTGCCGGGGAAAAAGAAAAAAAAAAAAAACAAATCAAAATCCCGGAACAGAGTTGCTATTCTTGGGTCCGTCCCTCCTTCGGTCACTTGCAGAGCCGGGAGCCCCCTCCCTGCCCCGGGCCGGGATCGGAGTCGCACAAGTCACACAGCTCCAGCCGCACTCACTCCCTGGGAATCCCACATCGCATTTTAACTACAGGGAAGCCGTCTCTCCAGCATATCTGTACCACCTCAAGTGTCTCGGGAGTACCATCCCTGTCTTTCCACCGGGCTATTTTTAATGACGAGTCGTATTAGCAGAAGGGCTTTCTTCCTAATTTATTACCCCCCCTCCCCGCCGCCCAACCTTCTTGCTTTAAAATGTTTCGGTTCAAGAGCTCAGCTGAGAATGAAAATAAAGGCAGCACCCGGGCACTTTGCGTCCAAGGCGGCCGCTCCGTGGGCTCGCCAGGGCTGGAATCAGTAGCTCCGAGCAACTGCACCAGTGGACCGAGGGCACCGTGACCTGCGGTGGTTATTCTCGTAAACAAATTTCTATTAATCACCAGGGCCCGGGAATGCCTTCACAGCCCAGAGCGTGCCTTCCCCCGCTCCCCACCACCGCGACCGGCAGCTCGCAGCCCAAAAACCCGTCCGGGAAAGCAAAATGAGCGATCTGAACCACCCCTAAAGCCAACCCTTGCTGCAGGGCCCCAGGAAATAAACACGCGAGGCTGGGGGACAGGCGCAGAAATCTCCAGAGATTTACATCCAGGGTGCTACATCTGCACAGGGGAGCGGGGAAGGTTGGGGTGACAGGTCCCCTCCTCGGCACCCCCTGCGACACCCACCCGAGACACTGATTGCAAGGCTTTGCATCATCCCCCCCTCCCACCTCCCAGCAAAGGCCTTTGCCCAGCAAGACGCAAAAAGTGCAGAAATAAAATCCCTTTCCAGAAAAGCCAAAGCGATTTTGCATCCCCAGCACAGTACAACAATTCCATACAAGCAGAATATTTATAGACTTACAGGTTATTTTGCAACAATAACAAAACAGCTACACAGAATTAACCCACCACTTGAGGGTCCTGGAAAGGAAAAGAGAACACGGATGGAAAAAAATATAAAAGAAGAAAAAATCATCAAAATGGGGGGTTTTTGTCTGGAGAATTCTGGTAAAGAAATAAAAAAGAAAAAAAATTAAAAATAAAACCAAAAGTGAATATTGGGAGTTCATGGGGAACCGTCTTTAAGGAAAAAGCTTCTTTCCCCAAGAGTAAATCCCATTGGAGGCCCTGAGCCGAGTGCGGCTGTTTGCGAAAAAATATTAAAAAAAAAAAAAGCTGAATGAGGGAAAAATAATTAAAGAAAAAAAAGTAAAAATCCAGAACAATGCAGCTGGCTCCTGGCTTTGCTCGCTGGGTTGTTTGGTTGGTTTAGGGTATTTTTTAGGGGGGGAGGGTGTTTTAGAAACGCGAAAGTGACCCCCCGCCCCAAAATAAATAAATTAAAAAATAAACAAAGATAAATTATAATTAAAAATACATATATATATATATATATATATATATATAAATATATATAAAAATAAAAGGCGCATTTTTTTCCAAGATCTCTTCGCTCGTTTTCGGAGAGGTTTGGGAGGAGAAAAAAAATAAAAAACCCACAAAAAACCAGAAGCGGAGGCTGGTGGTGGCAGGGGGGTGAGATGTGTGTTTGCACCGCCCGGAGCCGTGCCCGGGACCCCCCGTTTTCCTCTCCCGCCGCCGTCGTTGCCGCCGCCGCCGCCGCTGCTCGATCCGCGCCGCGCGCGCTGCTCCGCGCCCGCGCGCCCCCCACGTCACCGACAGCACCCGCCGCCACGTGACCCGCCGGCCGGGCGCGACCACTGCTGAAAGGGGGGAACGGGGAGGGGGATGAACGGGGGGCGACACCGTGAGACCCCCGCCGCCGCCGCGGCCCCCCCGGGACGCGCGCCCCCACCTCGCCCACCCTGTTGGCGGCAGCCCCGGCGGGGCGCGCACACCGGGAGGGGCGCGGCGCCGGGGAAGGAGCGGAGGGGGGAGGTCCGTGGCCCTCCCCATGCCGAGCGCGATGGTAGAGTCCGCAGCTCAAATTCCGAGAATTGGGCTCTGTTGATTCTTAGAACTGGGGTTCTTAGAAGTGGTGATGCAAGGAGTTTCTAGGAAAGCCCGGAGACCAGGTGATTGCTGCTTCTATTGCCGCGGCCGATTTTACCCTTTAATTCTCTCGCTCGCTTTTTTTTTTTTTTTTTTTTTTCTCTCCATTTTTTTCCCTCCTCTTTCCCTCCCTGCCCCGCTCCGACGCTTGGCGCGGAGCCGCCTCTATATATTTCTACCCTTTTTTTTTTCCCTCTCCCTCCTCATTCCTTCCCCCCCCTTTCCCGCTGCAGGTGCCCTTTATTTTTTTTTAATACTATTATTATTATCATCTCAATTTAATTTTTTTCCCTGCCTTATTTATTTATTTATTTCACATACACATCCCCCCCTTTTCCCTTTCCCGCTGTCAGGCGAGAAAAAAATTAGGGAAATAGGGGTGCCTGCATGTCTTTAACGCTGGGAGCGTGTATAAGGGGAGGGGAGCGGGGTGGGTGGGAGTGTCTCCCCTCGCCGTCCTCTCCCGGGGATTATCGGTTATCTGGGATTATTGGCTTTCCCGCACGCGTGACGGCCGGGTGGGGACGGGGGGGACGGCGGCGGCTCCTCTCTGCACCTGCAGCCGCTCCGCGGGCGCAGGACGGCGGCGAGCGCTGGCGGCCGCCGGGCTTGTGGCGTGACTCGGGGTCCGCTCTCAATGGCTGGATCTTTCAGTCGGGGTGTGTTATTTTTTTTTTGCCTTTTTTTTTTCTGCCTTTTTTTTTTTATCTTTTTTTTTTTTTTTTTTTTTTTTTTTGGTGTGTGCGTGTTGTGTCGCTGTTGTCGTTTCGCCGCCGCACGAAGCCGCCACGGAGCGGGGCTGGCGGCAGCGCGGGGGCTCGGCGGCACCGGGCACCGGCCTTTCCGCGCCAGCCCCCATTTCTCTCTGTTTCTGTTATTAAAGCATTATTATTGTTATTCTGTCCCCGGCGCAACCGCGAAAGGGCTAGTGCGTTTTGCAACCTGTGGCGGGGCTGCGCCGTGATCTGTCAAGCCCCGGGCTAAGAGCGGGCGGTGATGGAGAAGACTTGCGGCATTTCCCTGCCCGGGGAAGGGGGGAGCCCGCGGGGAGGCTCGGCCGCCGCCGGCTGCCGGCCCCGGAGCACCGCGGAGTGCCGGCCCGGGGCGGCGGGGACCGCGCTCGCCTCGACGGTGCGTGCGGGGCGGCTGCCGGCCGGGAACGCAACCGCGACGCAAAACTCGCGAAGGGGCAAAAGTGTATGAAGCGACTCTGAATATCACGCGTAGGGCTGAAAATAATAATAATAATAACACCACCACCACTACCACCCGTGGGGAGGAGTGGGCGTCCCCCGCCGGGAGGAAGGCGGCGGGCGGGAGGAAGCGGAGCGCAGCCGTGCGAGGGATGCGAGGGACGGGGTCCGGGGCGCGATGCGTGCGGAGCCCCCCGCTGCCCCCAGCGCAGCCCTTGCCCTGTGTTTACTACCGCGGCGGACTTGGCGCGGGGACAGGCGCTCGTAAATCTGCCGCCGGCAGCCGCGGGGCTGGCCCCCGGCCACACGCTATTCCTGGAGCGAACGGCCGCGGGGAGCCGCGCAACCCCCGCGCCGCTCGCTGCGGCCCCGAAACCGCCGCGAGCGGGCGGCGAAGACAGAGCGCTGTTTTGGTTTGTTGGGGTTTTTTAATGCTTTTTATTAGGTGCGTGATCTTGTGTGCGCAATTTTTAAATTTTTTTTTTAAGCTCCCCCTCCCCCCCTTTAAAAATAAAAGGCAAAACAAAACCGAAAAAGCCCAACTTTGTTATGAAAACTTTCGTGGTCGGACGGCAGCGACCTCTCCCGGCCGCCCCCACCCCCCCCCCCGCCGTTCCCCCCGCCTGTAGTTTGCAAAGTCACAATATGAAATGTTATGAAATCGCCTCTTGGGAAGGAGGGAAACAGAAAGCAAGGCGTTTGCTTAGAAAAATCCGCGGCAGCCTCTCAGATGTGCCTAAAAAGCTGCCTTTAACCCCCCTGTTGCATTTCCAGGGAAAAGGCGAATCTGGGCTTAAAATTATGAGTCAAAATCAACAAAAACAAACCCATCCCCGGTTAGTTTTTTCCACTGACTTAAGTAGGCGCAGGATCAGTGCGAAGGGAGGCTGGGGACAGACGGATGAGGCTCAATGAGAAGCTGTTACATTGGTCCGACATCTCTGTCTTGGGCCAAATTGCTACTTGTGCCAGTGGAAGTGTCAGCAGGGCTGGGTTTGGGATCTGGCCCTTATTCGATCTGGGAATTTTATTGATTCCTCTCCCGAGCCTTTAAATGCTTTAAAAATTATTATTTGCCATACTGTTTCAAGAATTTAAAGGATAAGAGCTTTAGGAGCAAATGCAGGCTCCTTCTTCCAGTCCTTGAGTAGGTTACAGTTCGAAAATTGCTCAAAAAATATTTTAGGGGAATCCTCTGTTTATATATGCACAGAGAAGCAGAACCAAAGATTCTGTTGTTTTCTCCTAAGGGTAGGATTGCAGGTTTGAAAACTTGCATTATAGATGGCAAACATTTTGCCCCATGAAACATATCACTAAACCATTAAAATATTCAAAGGGTATCTAGAAAATTTCCAGAAGAATGGATTATTATATTGTTCCAGTAAGAAAAGAGTTCATCTCTTGGTGTTCAATTTTGATTGGCAAAACAGATCAAAGATCTCTTGAGATACATTTCAATTCCAATTTCCAATCCTCCTCAGTTCTGACTGTCTGAGTCAATAATGGGAGAGGAAGTGGAGGTTAACTGGTTAGTTATTATTGTGAAGGAAGAAGTTGGAATGAGAAGTGATTCTTACAAATCCCACCCCAAAAACAAAGCAAAAAAAAAAAAAAATCCGTCAAAAGGCTTTGTGACACATTTTAGACATCCCTGTTTGCAGTGCGGGGAGGATTCAGCCGGCTGTTGGATGGTACAAAAATAAACCTAACAGAAACATTAAGTTTTTCAAAACAAGGCTGGAAAAGCTCATAAAAATAATGTTGCTCAGATGCGTTTTAAGAGAAACAGAATTACATCGACAAAATTATATGTTTTCCAGGTTTGGTTGGGGTGTTTTATTTTCCAAGGGGAAAAATTGCTCCTGCAGCAAAGCGAACTGGTGCCACCTAGTGTCACCTGCCGCCGCTCCGCGCGGGGCTGGCGGGGCCGCCAGCCTCGGGAGAGTGGGAACATGTTTATTAACTGCTCGTTAAAAAAAGAAAAAAAAATGCTTGCCAGCTTGGAGGAAGGTGGCAGAGGAAACTCTGGATGCCACTGAACTTACTTAAGGAGCCTAATTGGAAACAACCGAGTGCTTAATAAAGTCACTGACATTTCCATATGGAGTTCTCTCTGGGTCTGGTCATGAAATCACATGTGAAAATCTTTCCGAGTTGTGGTGTTAATCTGCCCTTGAATTTTTGCCTAATTTAGGATGTATTGTAAAGCGATGCTTTTTTTCTGTTTTCTTTTTTTTTTTTTTCCTTGGTTGGGGAAAGCTTTCAGTGTCCAACTGCAGCAGCCCAATATGAATTTGTAGGAATAGTATTTGGGTTTGGAGCACATTTTTTTTCTTAGTAAACAGTAATGTTATCCTCAAAACCCCATACAAATACAGGTGGTAAAACTTTGTGTGCCAGTCCTATGTGGTGGAACTGTCCTCTCACTTTATTTTTCCATGAAAAATAAAACCTTTTTACAAAGTCTATAGATGAATAAAATGAAGTTCTAATCAGTAGATGCATTTCTCAGTGTGCAATTTATGTACCTTCATATATTTATGGTGTTAAGGTTGAAGAACTGTTTCATGCCTGGTTTAGTCTGCATTCTGTAATACCTGGGCTGGGAACTTCACTCAAAGAGCTTTTACTGGTTCAGCTGGAGCCTGAAATGTTGTTTTCATTTTTCTGAGAAGTTGGTAAAATCTAAATTTGGTGGAAGGTTGCTTGTGTGCTCATAACCTCTTGCTCCATTTTATAGTAGCCTGGGAGTCTATAAACGGGAGCCTGTATGCCGAGTGCCTGTATTCTTCTCTAGATCTATTTTTAAACCATTCTTCTGTTTGGCAAAAAGTAACACTTGGTTTCCATGTTTACAGCAGGCATTGGCAAACCTCAGGAGTTCACAGTTTGCAGTTTGGTTAGATCAGTATCCAAAAGTCAGCATCTGTCCAGTGAGCTCCTTCAGACTGCAAATTTAGACTGCAAATGTAGTCCTCCTTTTTCCTTTTTTTTTTTTTTTTTTCTTTTTAAAATCCAAGCTAGATCATATGTGTTAGCATCACTGCAGGATGCTGGCAGCCAAAAGACACACACCCCTAAATTGGAGCAAGTGTGTAGACTTTAGGACTGCTTTAAAACCCCAGTAATCTCAGTGGAGCTTCCCATCTAAGCCAGAGACAGAACTAGGGGCATTTGGGAGAGGGTTAGGGAATTTTTGATCTATATTGTTTTCCTTCCCCTCTTTCTCTTGGTCAGTTGCTGCCTTTGGGCTGTATGCTGGGTACCCATGGGGAATGTTGTACCCCTTTTCATGGAGGAGAGAGCTTGAGACAAGCACACTGCAGGACAGGGGGCTCTGAATGGCTCCTGAAAAAGGTGTCCTGTAGGACTAGATACCCTTTGAAATTCACCTCCTTAAATCTGTTTGGCTAAATATAGGGGCAAGGGGGTGTCTCTGCCCTGGCCAAGGCACCCCAAACTGGGCATGTGTCCCATCCCATCCAGGTGGGATGCCAGAGCAGTTCCTTACTGCCAGAAGGAGCTGTGCCACCCTCAGCCCCAGGAGTACAGAGGCAGGGAGGGTCAGGTGCCCGCTGATAATTTTCTGTCCCAGAGCAGGGTTGGGATGATCAGACACCTCCTTGGAGCCCAGTGGGGCCAGGGACCTAGCTCAGCTGCAGGGGACACCCGGCTCCAGCTGCACCCTGCTCTCGGGTCGGCATCTCAGTGCAGGGCTGTGTTGGCAGGGCACGGAGTCCATCTTCTGTTCTCTGGAGTAGCTCCCTAGATTTCAGCCAGGACACATGGTTCCTGCCTTCCCTTGAAAAATTAATGTGCCAGATTGCTTGGGGTCGTTTGAAATGCTGAGGAAGGCTCGACTCCTTGCTTCCCAAGGGCACGCACTGCCTCTGCTCAGAGCCAGAGCTTGGCTCCGTAGAGGGCAGGGGAGTCCTCTTTAGTAGGAAAACATTGGAGGCAGTTTTAGCGTGCTTACCCCCTCCCTTCTCTGCATTTTCTTCTGCAAAGACCAAAACAATGTGAGACTTGAGCTGGGCCAGCTTTCAAGGGCAATCCTTTAAACCCTCTTTTGAAGTATGAACTATAAAGTTCCCTGCGGCGCTCGAGAAAATATGCAGTTTTCCTGGTTCCAAATGCTGATAATAAACCCGTCCAGATAATGCATTGCATTTCCTAGAAACATTTGTTTGCTGGCAGGAAATTGGATCAGATTGAGACCGCTCGATAGAGCGAGTGCGATCCGCTCTCGGAAGGGTACGGTGGAAAATACGACAGGGCTTGCACTGGTGGTGCTGCTTTTGATCTGTGCTGACGCTGTGGGCTTCTCTCAGTCTCTTCTTGGGTTATTATTAACCCAGCCACGTTTTGGCCTAGACACTAACCACAAGCTACTAAACTAATAAAACTGCTGTGACAACTAAAGGACACTTAGTGCCCCTGGATTGCGTGGTATCAGAAAGCTGAGCTGGGCGCTCACACACCCACAGCCAAAAGCATCTTCTTCACCATGGCATGTAGCACCCATGGCTTTGCTGGGGCAGCCACCCACACCCCACCTCATTTTCTTGGTTGTCCCCCGATCCTTGTTCAGGAGAAACCAGGCATTCCTTGGCAGGGTGGAGAGGCAGCTGGCAGCAGGCCCTGGCAGGCAGCGGGGATGTTCCCATGGGGCTGGGACCCTGCAGGGTGCAGGGACTGGGGAGGAGGAGGAGGGCAGGATGGAGCTTCCCCTGGGCGGGCAGTTTCAGAACACTGTGTGGGATGAGGCTGTGGGGAAGGAAGACTTCACCCAGCCACCCCTCTAAGGTGATGTGAGTGAGTCGGCGCTGCAGGCTCTGGAGGGGTAGGAGATTGGGGCCCAGGGAGGGGGAGTGTTTGATGCCCTCCTCCCTGCCTATGCGATTGGGGGTTGGAGAAGGGTTAAGACCACGGGGTATCACCATGCAAAGAAGGACAGGGGAGCAAGGAGTTCCCCCCTGTGCACAGAGTGGGAGGAGGATGGATGAAAAGGGATTGCCTCTAACTGGGAGAGTAGATCAATGGAGAGGCATGGCAGAAAAATGGATTGGAAATCCTTGGTTCTCAGCTCTGCCCTAGAGTAAGTGAGCAAAGAGGGTCTCCCCTTTGCCTGGGGTTGAGCTGAAAGAGGTTCCCCCACACGAAGGTACACCTTCCCTGTGCTCACAGAGCTGCAGGGAAGGCAGGGCCAGCTCTGGGCTCCTTTCCAGGAATGGGTTTTCTCGGGGAGGTGCCGGCAGGGAAGGGCTGTTCCCTGAACCGCTGGGGCAGACTCATTGCCTTCCTGGAAGGCAACAGCAGTGACTGTCCCGTGTGGCCACCCCCAAAATGGGCCCTGTGCCCATTCCAGACCTTCCTCTATGGGCACAGCCAGCCCTGGCACACAGCCTCGAGCACTGCCAGAGAGCTCACACCTTCAAGGTACTGGACAGGAAAACTGGAGGGGAGGCAGGGGTGTGGGATGATGCTCTGGCCCCAGCTGAGCCTGGAGGAGCCTCATGGGATTTGAGGGGGGTTTTGATGGCAAAGATCATGCTTGGCTGCAGTGGTTTTTTCTGTCCCCATCACTGGTCTCTGGTCCTTGTTTGCCATCCTGTTCTCTCTGGTCTGAGTATCCTCCCGTGCTGGGGTACAGAGCTAGTGCTGCGTGGGGACTGGAAGGGGCAGGGTTAACACAGCTCAGCACAGCAAGAGGAAGGAAAGTCCCTTTCCCTTTGCATGCCCACATCCTGCAGCCAGGAGCTGCTTGGGATGCACCTGCCCAGCTCTTGGGGCTGTGGACGTTGCAGCAGCACTGTGCTGGGAGGGATAATTTGGAAGGGTGGGGAGGAGGCTGTGCTGGGGTCCAGCTCTGGGAGAGAAGCTGGGTGTCCCTCTGGCAGTGCTGTGCCCTCACTGTGGATAAGGGGATTTGGCGACAGTAGCAGCTTCTCACATGATGCTCAGGGGTACAGAGTTCATCTGGCTGTTTGTAACTTTGTTGGTTTACAAGTGGATCACCTCCTCACCTCTGTGACACTGAGGTGACTCCCCAGAGCCTGGCAGAGTATGTCTGCCACTGTGGCTGAGGTTGGGGTGCCAGCTAGCTGCCCCAGGCACACACATCTGCTCATGTGGGCACAGGGATGTGCGCTGGGCTCCTTGCAGAACACTCTGAGTCCCTTGGCTCGCAATTCATGGTAGTGAGTGGCTGGCAGTGAGCATGTACAGAAAGGTCAGAGTCTGCAGTATTTGGGAAATGAGTCACTTTTTGTATGTGCGTGAAGTTTTAAGCTGGCCAGGCTCAGAGCAGCTCTGAAGATTTGTGTTTGATGGCTGGAATAAAGCTGTAAGACACCCTCTGGGTTTTGTGTGTGATACCTTGCCTTAAATCCCATTTCTTCATCCCAGTGGCTCTGGGGATGGGAGGGGATCGTGGGCTCCAATCCTGCACATCTCCTGCAAGGGAGAGGTGAAGCAACTTGACAATCCCTTGTCTCACAGGGATTATTTGGCTTCTTGCTGTCTTAACAGTCCAGGGATTCGTCCTCAAAATGGTGTGATGAAGGTCTTGGGGTTTGTTGTCTCATTTATTGTGCTTCTACCTGCTGAGGCAGTTCTCTGAGGACATTCTTTCTGCATTGGTGCCGAGTCAATTGGGTTTGGTTTAAGTAAATTTTGGAGGATTAGTATGAGTTCTGCGAGGCAATTAACTCCTGGTTTCCTTGCTGTTCTGTCCCAGCTACATTGCTGGGTGAAGCCAGTGCCTGGAGACACAGCTTGTGGTTTAAGGGAAGGCTTTGGCAGCAGCAAGAGGAAGGGACATTTGTTCTGCATCCTTACTGTCTCCGCCACTGGCTTCCTATGCAGTCCTGGCCAAGTCATGTGTATACTTGACACCTATATCCTCCCAAATGTGTTGAGCAATCCCATCCCAGGGCGTTTTCACCAATGGCTGGAGCATGTGGGTTTCTGAGGAGAGTGGCAGGAGATGTTTGTGTGTATGTCATACCTGTTAACAGGGTGCTGGGAGTATGGCATGGCTTGAATGTGGCACTGGACAGGAATTCAGTTTTGGCAGGGGAAGAGTTATCTCCAAAAGAAGTGGTGAGAAAATTCTCGCTTGACTTCCTTTCCCCACCTGCCTTTAAGTTCCTGAGTCATGGAAATGAAAATCTCCTTGGCATCCGCCCATGGTTTGGGCTAGAGGGTGTGGAAGAAGCTATGATTGGATTCTCAAAGCCTGTGATTGTGATAAGAACGTACTGTACCGGAAGAAACAAATGTTAACCTTACTGGAGAGTAGAAGGTTTGTTATCTCGAGCTTTTATCCAACTGATACTTGAGCGAAATAGCAGCCTTGTGACCTGCCATGCCAATTCATAATTACCAGCTAATGTGGTGTTTGTTTTCTTGTGATTTATTTGTAGGTTTGAAAGAAACTTTTGGACTGTGAATTGAGGCATTGGGTATGTAAATTTAAATCTTGTGTTTTCCCTCCTAATCTGTCTCCCCCTTTCCTTAATGCAACGTTTCATTAGGCACAGCTGGAATTTGTTTTTGGGAGAGCAGCTGCTCTGTAGAAACTACTGTATGTTCATGTGTCACTGGGGAAGGAGGAATCAGGATTATGGGAGGGGGTTGATCATCGAAGAATTTACCACCAAAGATGCACATTCCAGCCCAAACCTCAGGGAGACATGGGCCATCCTGGGTGCTGCTTCGGAGGACACCTCTGAGATGTGTCAACAGGTGTCGTGTTGGGAGAAGTCATATTCCTCGACTAACCCAAACCTTGCTCATGGGCCATGGGTAGCAGCCCAGCAGGTTAGATGAGTTCTACTCCTCACCAGTTAATTGGGAAACTGTGGACAGGTCTTCTCCAGAGTGACCACCACTTGGGAACAGGAAAGTAGTTTCCTGGGTGAGGGCTGGTATTCCATCGTGGGCTGGATTTTCCAGATGTTGAAATCATTCAACTTCAGTTGGGACCTTAAGGCTTGTTTTGATTCCTGTGGCTGGATTTACAGCTAGACATCACACAGGTGAGAAGGATCGCTCCTGAGGGAGTTTGGAAGGCTAGAAGCTTCTAATGTTGGAAACATTATGGAGATGAACCTGAGTGGGTGGAGTGGCCTGGGGTGGGGCTGCCATGGGTGAGGCAGGGAGAAAGAGGAGATGGTTGGCTAATCATCAGGAGGGTCTGATTGCCTTCACCCACCAGCTTGATGGGTGGGATGAGACATGCGAGGTCTCACTATCAGGAGACCAGGGACCTCACCAGGCAGCCTGGCAAGAGCTTGGTGTGGTGCAGCACTGTTTGCCTTGGGAGCAAGGAGCTGGTGCTGCCCCTACCAGGAGCAATTGGCCATCTGAGCATGTCCCAGAGCAGCAGCCATCTCTTCCTCAGGTTTAGGGTACTTGCCTGGCTGTTCTCCATTCTCATCTTCCTCTGATGCTTGTGTCTCCCAGACTCAAGATGGCCTCGCCGGCAGACAGCTGCATCCAGTTCACGCGCCACGCCAGCGACGTCCTCCTCAACCTCAACCGCCTTAGAAGCCGGGACATCTTGACCGATGTTGTCATCATCGTGAACCGGGAGCAGTTCAGAGCCCACAAAACAGTCCTGATGGCCTGCAGGTGAGAACAGGCTCCTTCCCTAGCTCCCTCCTTGCTCCTTCAGCCTTTGGCCTCCAGAAGCACTGCTGCAGTCCTGTGGGGGCTCGTGGGATTCACAGGGAATCAGAGGCGGAGAAACAGAACTGAAAGGGGCTGCCAAGAAATTTGTACCTGTAATGGGATTAGAGCTGAGATCCTTTCCCTCCTGTGTGCTGCCCTCACCTCTCCTTGTGTACCCACATCTGCCCACACACAGCCCATGGAGACCAGCAGGAGCACAGCAGCTGTGAGGCACATCCCTGAAGGCAAAGCACAGATGTGCCACAGGGACAGGATAGGAGAGGAGAGGGAGGGCAGGATGTTCGCTGGGATGAGTGAGTCTTCTGTGACCGAGGTGTCCCCTGCCACAGCTATTTTTAGAGCTATTCCTCCCTGGCTCCCAGACTGCTGGCTGCACCCACCTTAGTTGATTAATTTTTTTTTTCTTCAAAGCCTGATGGAGTCTGAAATCACTTTCCATCTCCTAAGACTGTTGGAATTGCTTCCCAGTGAATGCTAATTAATATCCCACCATTGCCCAGTTGAATTACAGCAAATGCCTTCCAGGTTCTCTTGCTGACATGGTGTAAAGATTTCAAAAAGCCAAGCTTTGACTATTAAAATGTCTGAAAAATGTTTTGCCAACATTTCTCCTTTTTTTATTTTTCTGGTTTAAAACTGTGTGGATGCCTCAAGAGGCTTCTGAAAGAAATGAGTCATAGTGGAAGGGGGATGGTGGTAAGAACAACAATGGAAAAAAACAAAAAAGCTGGGGAATTACTAAATGGAAGCAGTGGGGAGTTGTTGAGCAGGTGAGATCTAAAAGCAGGCTGTTCCAGTTGGGAAAAGTGCAGTGCAGAAGACGCTTACTAAGCTGAGAAACCAAGCTTGATAATAAGGGGGAAGCTCAGGGAATTCAGTAATTGCCTCCTCCTCCTCCCTTCCCATTCACAAACCCCCTCTGTACTCAGGGATTTCATACAAATTCTCCTTTTTTTCCTTTGACTTGTCATAACACTTTCCTCTGTACTGTCTCCCCTCTGCAGTGGCCTCTTCTACAGCATCTTCACTGACCAGCTCAAGTGCAACTTGAATGTTATCAACCTGGATCCTGAAATTAACCCTGAGGGGTTTTGCATCCTCTTGGACTTCATGTACACCTCCCGCCTGAACTTGAGGGAGAACAATATCATGGCTGTGATGGCCACAGCACTCTACCTGCAGATGGAGCACGTGGTTGACACCTGCCGAAGGTTTGTCAAGTCTAGGTGAGTGCAGTTGGTAAGCTTTGAAGAGCTGGGGACTGTGTGTTTGGGTGGACAAGGGAAGAACTGACAAAGTATCTGCAAATATATCTTTAACAGCTGAAAATGACTTTGTCTCCCTCCTAAACAATTTGTTTTCCCTGATTCCAGTGAAGCAGAGATGGTGTCTGCTGTGAAGACCCCAAGGGAAGAGTTTCTGGCTGGACGGATGCTGGGCCACCCAGAGGTGATGGCTTATAGGAGCAGAGATGTCTCAGAGAACGGAATGCCTCTCCAAAACGGGTCCCTCTGCAACGGGAGGGCCTTTGCACCCGGCTTGATCAACAGTTTGTCTGGATCCCCCATTTCCTACCATGGATACAGCCCTCTCCCTCTAAATAGCTTCCTGGTGGATGATGAGTTGCGGGAGATGAGGATGCCTCTCTCTGAACTCTCAAGGGCAGGTGCCTTCCCCAAGGAGAGGATCCTGCCGTGCGACAGCTCCAGGACAATCCCCACTGAGTACGTGAGAACCATCACCGACATCTCTGCCAACATGTGCCACGCTACCATCTATGCTCCTAAAGAAGGTGCTGCTGAAGAAGCCAGGAGTGACATGCACTACAGCGTGGCTTCTGGGCCCAAACCTGTCATCCCCTCAGTCCGGAACAACCCCTACTTCCCCTGCGATAAAGTGGCCAAAGAGGAGGAGCGGACCTCTTCAGAGGACGAGATCAGCCAGCACTTTGAGCCCACCAACACACCCCTGGACCGCAAGGGACTCATCAGCCCTCAGAGCCCCCAGAAGTCAGACTGCCAGCCCAACTCACCAACTGAATCCAGCAGCAGCAAGAATGCCCGTATCGGCCAGAACTCCAGCTCCCTCTTCACCAAGAGCCCCACAGACCCCAAAGCCTGCAACTGGAAGAAGTACAAGTTCATTGTCCTCAACTCTCTCAACCAGAACACCAAGCAAGACAGCGCTGACCAGAACGAGATGGGAACCCTCTCTCCTCGCACCTATGTGCCCATGTCCACTTGCCAGCAGTCCATGGAGCCGGAGCATCTCAATGTGCAATCCCCCACCAAGATAAGCGTGAATGGTGAAGACTCTACAATCCCACAAGCGAGCAGACTCAACAATATTGTTAACAGGTGAGAAGATTTCCACCCCCCTTGCCCCTCCCTGAGAAACAGGACTTCCTGCATTGTTGGTGAGGGTTTGGAAGTGTGAAATATCTGTAGCATTGGGCTGGGAAGTCCAGTCATGAGCAGATGGAATCCCCTGCTTATGGTGGAGGGCTGCCAGTGACATTAGTGCCCACCATTCCCAATGTAGTGGTGCCAGCGAAGACTGGCAAAGGAACTGGGAATGTTGGGTTGTGAATCCCTGGGTAACTTCGGCAGCTCTGGATTATTCCTGGAGCCTGGATTTGCCTAGCCTGTGTTTCCACCAGACTCCCTATGCCTCAAGTTTTTTGTTGGCTGTAAGCATTGGAATGGCCAAAGTTTCAGGGAACAATATGCCATCTTCTGGACCTGGATGTTCCTAAAGACATACAAGGTCATTTGGTGATGAACATCTGAAGGTTTGAAGCTTAAGGATCTGTTGTTGATCAGGTCTATGCTGTGCAGCTCACGACAAAGACGTCCCCATAAAACATGTCTGTCCCTTGTGTTGGGAGGGGTGCAAACACCCTCAGTATCTCGAGCACAGCAAGGGCTTTCTCACAGCTGTGTACATTGCTCTCTTTCCACAGGTCCCGGGATGGGTCCCCTCAGAGCAGCGAAGGGCAGTCCCCACTGTACATGCATTCATCAAAGTGCAGCTCCTGTGGTTGCCAGTCCCCACAACATACTGAGATGTGCCTTCATACCCCTGGCTCAAACTTTGGAGAAGAGATGGGGGAAACCCAGTCTGAATACTCCGACTCCAGCTGCGGTGAGTCTTGCATCCTTGGTCATCTTTTTCAGCTAGCAGCTGGGGGCTGTGCAATGTAGGGACCCATCACTGAGTGCCCTGTGATCAAGCACACAGTCAGACCTGTCCCAGGTCCACTGCTGGTGAATCCCACAGTGCTTTACAGCCCCTTCTTAACTGTCTGCCCAGCTGTGTGCATGCATATGAGGGACACATGTAAATGGGAATTGCTGCCTTCCTCCCCTTCCCCAGCACCATTCAGATACCTTGTGCAGGGAGGTAGTCACCTGCTGCAAACCTGGCAGATAAGGACAGGAAACAAGTGCACCCCACCCCACCAGAACCACAGGAGAACAAGCCTGACAGATGTAATGACCCGTAATGGGGATTGGGCAAGCTGGCATGTCTCATGCATCCGTCATGATATCTTTATTATTAGTGAGCCCAGTGTGCACATCTGGGGAAATGCAGATAATGAGGCTTGCAATCTTGTTACAAAACCCCACAAGCCCAAAGACAGGTATCTGTGCACTCATCTGCCTGTAGCTCAGGGAGGGGGAATGCAGCATTGCCACCTGTAGTGTGGGCAGAGATCCAAGGAGGGAGCATCACTGTGGTAACACTCAACACAACATTTAAGAGTTGGGCATCCTCCTACTGGGGGAGTCTGCCTTGTGATTTGCATCATGATCATCTTCCCAAGCTAAAGGCAGAGCTCTGTGCCTGTAAAGGTTAAAAGACCTCTGAAGGTGCAGGTGTTGCTCCAGAGCTGAGCATCATTCAGAGGATGCCTGATCTCTTGAGTGCTTTCATGGACCTCTCTGGAAGAGGTAACAGCACAGTGGAAGCACAACTGAATATGAACACCTGCACATGGCTGCTTGTTCCAACACTTGAACTGGCTGTGCCTCTCCTCCAACCCAAATCCATCCCATAGCCTACCAAGAAGGTGACCCATGCACTGTCCATCTGATTGCTCCTCTCTCTGCCCTCCCAGAGAACGGAGCCTTCTTCTGCAACGAGTGTGACTGCCGGTTCTCCGAGGAGGCCTCTCTCAAGAGACATTCTCTGCAAGTCCACAGTGACAAGCCCTACAAGTGTGACCGCTGCCAGGCCTCCTTTCGCTACAAGGGGAACCTCGCCAGCCACAAAACCGTCCACACAGGTACAGTGCTGGCTGTGGGGACAGCTTTGGGGAGGCTGTGGGTTGGTGAGCATGTGGGTGCTTATGGCTAGGTTTGTGCCTGGTGCAGCGTCCTCTACTCTGTGTCACAAGCTGTCCCTGATGGGAAGAGCAAGGTGCTTTACTTGGCACCGCTACTTGGACAGAGCACCAAACCTGGGAATGGGGGAGATACCTGCCCTTGCAGTAAGGGTGGAACTCAACCTCCTCGCTGTAAAGCACTGGGCACCACTATTTTTAAAGGTGTCGTGCAGAATTCATAACTGGGAGCAAATGCATGGCCTCTAGGTAACTTTGTGGTAGACTTAAGCAAGAAAAAAAATTAAAAATAGTCTAAAGAACATTTAGGGAGAAGTCTGAGATTTATTTTTACATCCTAGAAATTCAGGTCACATCTAGCTTGGCATAAACTGTGCTGATGAGAAAATCTGTGAATGGATGGACTCTGTGAATCAGCACAATGAAAGCTGAGAAAGGAAGAGGATATTAAGGGTTTAGTCATTTGCTGACAAACCTAGGGCTTATTTTATTTCATGCTTTTAATGCTTAACATGTCAACAGCCAGTTCACAAGCTGGGGAGGGGAAGTCTGGGCTGATGACTCTGTACTGCTGCACTGAATTAGACCCAAATTCCCACAGTCTCAGCTGAGCTCCAGGAGGGCTGTGCAGGGGACTGAGACAACACAAGTACCAGGGCAGTGTTCAAGGGTGCTTATTGACAGCTCTAGGGAGATGTAGATGCCAGCTGCTGTCCCAGGGTCAGGAGGAACAATGCTATTAATCCTTGCTGGCAGAGCTGCCTGACTTCCTCTCTTGCCCTGAAGGCTGCAGCTCCCAATCCAAAAGAGAAAATCTGCCTCCTGAGCTCACCCTGCCCTGTGGACACCCTGCCCAATGCTGCTTGTCCACAGCCATCTCCAAAAAGGACAGGAGTCAGGGCTGGTGTTTCATGCCATGGGGTCTGGCAGCTGAAGGGACTGAACTCTGGGGAGCACCATGGATCCTGGGTGCTGAGCACACCTGTAGCTAATCCCTCACCCTTCCTTTTGGGCTCTGCAGGAGAGAAGCCGTACCGCTGCAACATCTGCGGGGCACAGTTCAACCGACCAGCCAACCTGAAAACCCACACACGCATCCACTCTGGGGAGAAACCCTACAAGTGTGAGACCTGTGGGGCCAGATTTGTCCAGGTGCGTGTGGCCTCTGGGACCCACGGTGCCTGGGGAGGTGGGATATGGTTGGATCTTCTGCCCAAGACTGGCAGATCTTCACTGCCAAAACTGGTGATGCCTCATGGCAGAGAGGAGGGTGATGATAGCCCAGCTTGCTGCCTTGGGCAGCTCTTCCCATGGTGTTGTAGGATAAATATGGACCTTAAGGTCCGAGGGGAAAAATTTGGCTTAGTAAGGAAGCCTTGACTGGGGGTTGTGGCTATTCTGCTCCATTTTGTCTTAAGGACTGGAGGTACCAGAGCTCAGACACATGGCCCTGGCCCCCAGCTATAACCCAATAGACCAAAAAAGCCGTCTGGGCAGAACCCCCTTCCCGCAGGGATACCCTTGCTCCCAGTGGGATGCCATCCTCCCTGGGGCTGTTGTGACCCAGAGCTGCTCTCTGCAGGTGGCCCACCTCCGTGCTCACGTGCTCATTCACACCGGGGAGAAGCCGTACCCCTGTGAGATCTGCGGCACACGCTTCCGGCACCTGCAGACCCTCAAAAGTCACCTTCGAATCCACACAGGAGAGAAACCCTATCATGTGAGTGCCCTGCTTTTTTTGGTGGTGGGGAATCTCAGCTTGGGCTGGGGGACAATGCTGCCAAGCCTGAGGGGCTGTGAAGGCACAAGGGCATTTGCACAGGCTGGTTGCAGCATCCTAACGCCCTTTGCCAGCCTCATGAGGCCCCACACCAAGGTCACATCCCTGCTTCTCGTGCCCCATTTCCCTCCTGGGCATTAGCTGATGCTGATGTGGTATTTTTTCAGGCGTGGCTGTGTTGGAAACACTGACATGCAGCCCAAGCTGGGTACATCTTAGTTGCTCTTTTCTTCCACCCCATCTGGAAGAAGGTCACACTACTTCAAATAGCTGTGGCTTAAATTACAGCTGCCTGTGGTGTGTGGGGATAGGGGAAAGGAGCAGACAGCCTGGCCTGAGCTCCCCTCTGATGGTGATAATCACACACAGCAAGCAGTATGCCCTGCCTTGCCTGCAGCCCTGTGGGCTCCCAGCGCTTTGCTGGGGCTTTCCTGGCTTTCACCATCTGTTCAAAAGAGAATCCACGAAGAGGTTGACATCCTAACATCCTGGAGCCATTCAGCTCAGCAGAGGCCAAAAGCAGCTCCAGAAATAGCCCTGTAGCTGGTTTGATCACCTAGATATGGAGCTTGGTACTATGTCTATCACAGCCAGAGTAATCTCCTGAGGGACTTTGCCCTTTGTACATCCCAAAAGCCAATACATGCTGCTGAAAGCCCGGGATGGAGTGCCTGCAGGTGCTGCTCCTCCCACCATGTTCCCACTTTTCCCCTCATCTGCCTGTATAGTGGGTGCAGTGTCCTGGGGCCTCCGGTGGAGCGTGCCCTGAGGGGAGGACATGTCCCCTGCCATGGCATTTGACACCCTCTCTCTTTGCCTGTCTCCCCACAGTGTGAGAAGTGCAACCTGCACTTCCGCCACAAAAGCCAGCTGCGGCTCCACCTGCGGCAGAAGCACGGGGCCATCACCAACACCAAGGTGCAGTACCGCATCTCGGCCAGCGAGGTGCCCCCGGAGCTCCCCAAGGCCTGCTGAAGGCACAGGATTGCCCAGGAGGAGCTCGTCTTGGGGGGCATGGCGGGGAGCAGCTGTCCAAAGGATACTTGCAACACTTTAAAAAAAAAAAAAAAAAAAAGAGAGAGAGAGAAAAAATATTCATCACATGATGGAGTGCCTCTAAACCCATAGTACAGATAGGTGGAAAAACATTAGAAATTAAAAAAAAAAATTACAAATACACGGGTTTTATTTTTCCCAGTTATGTGAAACAAAATGAAAAAATAAAATTATTCAGATCTTACTGTATATAAAACATAAAAAAATTTAAAATAGTCATTTTAAATGTCTGTGCAGTGGAGTGTTGATAAACTCTGGAGTCTAACCTTCACAGCCTTTGCAGTTTGAAGATGAGGAATGTAATGTTGATTTATGGGAACAGATTTTTTTCTTTTGTATGCAAAATGTGTGTTCTTTTAAAGAGAAAGTATGCTATTAAAGAGAGGGCTTTAACTTTTTTAACCAAAGGTGAAGGAATCTATGGCAGAGTTGTAAATATATATAGATATAAATATATAAATATATATATAAAATAAATATATATAGACCTTTAAAAAAGCTATATTAAAAATATATAAAATGCATTAAAGGCTCAGTTGGACTCTGCAGGCAGAAGCCACTCTGAGAATCTTTATTATGATAGAGCACTTAAGGAGATATTTTAAAGTATTGCATCTGTACAAGTAAGAAAATATTTTGTCTAAATGCATCAGTGTATTTGTATTTTTTTGCAAGTGAAGGTTTACAATTTACAAAAAAGTGTGTATTAAACCAACAAAGCTGCAGAAGGAATTTAAAATAATAATAAAGTGTAATTTTTTGTTCTAGTTCTCAGTCTGTATATATGTAAAATGTGGTTTCGCACGGTGCCTTTCTTTTCAATGGAAGTTTTCAGTGTATGGACTATATTGAGCTCAGTTTCTTCAAGGTACAGCCTGATGTTGCAAAAGGAGTTTTGGTGGAACTCTTAAGTGGGGGAATGTTTTATTTTTTTTTGTTTTGGATTTTTTTTTTGGTCTTATTTTACATGCTTGTGTTATAAACAATCTCGGGAGACAGGGTTTGGGCTGTGTCTAAACTGCATTAATGCGTTCTGTAAAATATAGCTGTACAAATAAAAGAATAAAATGAAGAAAAGTGATGTATGATGGAGTGAGAGGTCTGTTCTTGCCTGTCCCTCTCCTTAAACAGCTTGAAGCCTTGCTGGTGCCTGGGGAAAGGGCTGAGCATCCCAAGCCCTGGTGTGAGCTCTTGGCTTGGTGTGGCTCTGGCCCTGTATTGAAGGCAGGGCCTCTTTCAGCCTTGAGTGAGGGTGGTCTCTGGCAGGAGCAAGGCTCAAGTTTGCTCTGGATCCTGGTGGGGACTGTGCCACCCCCTTGGTGCTTTCTGCATTGGCACCGAGTAGCCAGCAGGAAGTGGGCAGAGCCTGGGAGAAACCTTTGCTAACCAGCCCAGGGACAGCTCCAGATGGCTGAGTAGTTATTTATATTTCCTGGAATCCAGTGCACTTGCCAGAATTGCTCAGGGAAGATGACCGCCTGCTGCTCCTCTCTTCTCAGAGCCTGGGATAGGGGGGAGCTGCTCTTCTGCCTGCCTTGTGGGATGATTCAGGGGAGCAGGGTCTGTAACCCCATCCAGGACCTCACTGGCCAAGAGCATCTCTGTTTCCAGCCATTGCAGTCTGGCTTTGGGCCAGAGCTGAGACAGCCCAGCCTGAGAGAGTCCCTGGGCTCACCCTGGTGGGGAGAGGAGCTGCTTTGCTCTGTTTGGATGGCTGTGGTGTGCTGGGAGAAGCTCTGGGTGCCCAGGCCCTGAGCTCTGTGCAGGCAGCCCAGCAGCTCTGCACTGCTCTGCTGGTTTCAGAAAACCAAAGAGCCTTAGGCAAAAAGTTTCTCTGAATCACACAGACAGGACTGGCTGGAACCAGCACTGGTGTGGAGCTCGGCCATGGCTCAGCACAGCCTGGGGTGGGGTCTGAGTTTCATTTTGAGTTTAGTTAATTCATGGATAGCTTTGTCTCGGGGCTCGCCAGATGATTCACAGTGGGGGCACTTGGAAGCCCCAGCAGGAAGAAGAGGGCCTGGCTGTTTGCAGGGTCACTTAGGAGGAGCTGGAGATGAAGAGAAGGATTTGGTTTTCAACACGCCATGGGACAGAGGTGGATGTGAGATAACAAAAGCAGCTTTGCATGGGAAGAAAATGCCAAGAAGAGGGGGAGCCAATTTGCTGGTTTTCAGCATCCTTGCTGCTCTGACTTGGCCTTCTGATGGTCACAGCAGGCTGAGACAACTATTGCTGACATCAGCTGAACATTTTTAGGACCAGGAGCTATGAAGATGCTTTTGGGCCCCATAAGTGGGATCATGATGACTGATAACAGCAATGCTATTCTTAGAGAAGTTTCACCTGAGGAATTGTCTTGCTTAGCATAGCCTCTGGATCTGGACAGGCTGCTGAGCTGGATAGAGTGGCTGGTCCTCATCTTTGTGAGCTTGTGGCTTTTGGGTCTGCTACTCTTCCTTATGACATCTTTGAGCTCTTGCTTTTTGTGCTCATCTAAAAGCAATGCAGTTGCCTTTTCCTGTTTGCCTCTAAATAAACATATTGTTTCAGGATGAAAGTTAAACTTTTTTACTTCTACTCTAGTCTTTTGAGGCCTCTCCCTGAGTACTGTGTCCAGCTCTGCAGCCCCCTGCACAAGGAAGACCCTTTGGAATGAGTCCAGAGGAGAGCCACTAAGCTGGCTGCAGGATTGGAATACGTCTTCAGTGGGGACATGCTGAGAAAACTGGGGCTGTTCAGCTTGGAGAGGGTTCCAGGGAGACCTTAGAGCACTTTGCAGTACCCAAAGGGAGCCCACAAGAGAGTTGGAGAGGGACTTTTCACCAGGACATGTAGTGGGGGCACAAGGGGGAATGGCCTTAAGCTGGAGGAAGGTAGATTTAGATTAGCTATTAGGAGAACATTCTTACCCATGGTGGTGGTGAGGCACTGGAACAACTGATGAGGTTGCCCAGAGAAGCTGTGGATGTCAAATCCATGAAGTGTTCAAGGCCAGGCTGGATGAGGCCTTGAGTAACTCTAACCAGGGGAAGGTGTTTCTGCCCACGGTAGGGGGTTGTAACAAGATGATCTTTAACATCCCGTCCAACACAAGCCATCCTATGATTTTGTGACCCCCCCCAGCTCCTCTGGCTTGTCTCCCAGCAGCCCAGATCTGCTGGCATGTGAAGAAACCCCACAAAAAGGCAAGAGCTGAGCAAAGCCAGCCTCTCTCTTCTCCTGTTTGGTTTGGCCAGGCAGGACAGCTGCCTGGCAGCCTGCAGCAAGTGCCTGCCTGCTATGAACTGAGATCTTCCCAAGCATCCTTCTGGGCAAGAGCCTATTTTTTACCCCGAAGGCTGAGGCCAGCATGAGCCCTCACCGACTTACTCATGTTAGACACAGGGTGGTGGAAAAATAACCACAAATGGATCATTGCCTGAGTGTTAACAATAGCAAAATCTTACTTTCCCACCTTATTCCCTCATTTGCTTTCCCTTTCTACCTTTTTCGGGTGGGTTTTTAATGTTTAGTAAAGCTGGCTGTCCTCACAGCAGGATTTTGACACACTGCTCTCATTTGACACACATATTTAGGTTTCTCCCCTCCCTGTCAGGACCTGCTTGCCTTTGAGCTCACCGCCTCTCTAGTTACTGCAGTTGTCACTTTTGGAAGCGGCAGGGCTGGACTGACAGCTCCACTTGCCCCAGAAAAGCAGCTGTGCTGCCACGACCTTTATTTCCTATTGACTTGCCCAGCTGCACTTGCAAAATAAATACTGTATTTTCCTGGAGCATGGTTTCCTCCTCCTGACAGACTTTATTTTTTTTAAACAGTGATGTCATGGCTTTTCCGGGCAGTTCAGCTGAAGCGATAGCAATCCGCACTCACAGGCCTGCAGGCATCTGGCACGGAGGGTGTTTGGAGAGGCGAGGGAGCCCTCACACACAGAGCTGCCCTACACTTGCTTTATGCCTGCTTTATACCCATAAACACTGAACTGCTCGGCCCTGCCCGTGTCCGTATTGCTGGGTTGTTCGCCCTTGGAAAACCTAGCTTCAGAGACAGGCTGGCATTCAGAGGGAAGGTCACCACCGAGCCTATGGAATGGCTGCTTGCCAGGAAGGCCCAGCATGGAAATGGGGATTCAAACTCCAGGGGAGTGAACAGGGCTGCGGGAGGGGATGCTTTATTTCTTTTGGCAGCGTTGACGGACGACCCCCGGGGCCAGGCCGGGGCCGGGGCCGGGGCCGGGGCCGGGGCCGGGGCCGGGGCCGGGGCCGGGGCCGGGGCCGGGGCCGGGGCCGGGGCCGGGGCCGGGGCCGGGGCCGGGGCCGGGGCCGGGGCCGGGGCCGGGGCGCTCCGCTGCATTCTGCCGAGTCTCCACGAGAGGGCAGTGGAAGACGGAGTTTAAGCACGCAGTCCTGGAATTATGGAACAGTTTGGGTTGGAAGGGACTTTTAAGATCATCCAATTCCAGCCGTGGACAGGGATACTTTCCACAAGATCGGGTTCCTCAAAGCCTCATCCAGGCTGCTCTTCCAGGTGTTGAGCATCTGCAGCTTCTCTAGATTACCCATTCCTCGCCACCCTCACAGTAAAGAATGACTTCCTTATATCTAACCTAAATTGTCCCTATTTCAGTTTAAAACCATTCCCCTTTGTCCTGTCCCTGCATATCCTTGAAAAAGTCCATCGCTGACTTTCTATAATCCTGTTAGGTACTGGAAGGTGCTATAAGGTCTCCCCAGAGCCTTTTCCAGGCTGAACAGAGATCGTGTTAATAGAGGAGAGTTATATACAGAGATAAAGCAGAGATAATTATTTCTTGATTTTATGTGCTCATCCATCTGTACCCATCATCTCTTTCCTTATGCTAATAATTCCTCACAGCTCAGGCCAGCATCTCTCTGTATGGTCCCAAACACAGCCCTGGCTCCTGGCAGCCACTGCAATAGTACAAGTAAATACCTCGGTATTTAACTCTCATATTATACCTGGTACATCACTCTTAGCTCAGCCTGTTCAGCTGTGTTTCTGCAAGTGTTTGTACTGGTTTTTCCCTTGTCTTTACCATATCTTTCCCTTCCTCTTTCTCTTCCCTCTCCCTTTTCAAGGCAGCTGCTATCAGCCCTATGGATGCCATGGCAGTATCCTAGGTGCCTGAGACTGGGAATAAAACTCAGGTAACAGCATCAGAAATCCTAAACACAGCTCAGGCTCTTAGAGACATTCCAAAAATTAGGTACTAGAATTCCACCTCTGTGAACCTCCACAGCCTGACTGCCTTCCCTCTTTGCTACGGGAGCAGAAATCCCAGATGCTTGTAATTGATGGAGAGGCAAATTCTTTTGGATCTGTGCCCAAGTTTTACTATAAAAACAGAACCTCTCGGGGCTGTTGTAAGTCTGTGTACAACCCCAACATTGCTGCTGTCTCTGTGCCCCATTCCAGGGGTACATGGTACCATTCAGCCAGAGGCTCTCTCCCTTATTGAGCTCTTGGTTTTTATTATCACTCAGGTAACTGACTACTTTTCCTCCACTCATCTGGATCTCCCGGGGCAGAAACCTGCTTTATTAGATTTCCAGCAAGCTGTTAAAGCTGTGGGGTTGTAGCAGCCTCCTCACTGCCCCACAGCAGCAGCTGCATGTCCAGAGGCAGTGTGGGGAATGCCACCGCCCTGGCTCCCAGATCACCGCTCAGCCCTACCAGCTTGAGCGCTGGAATATAAAGAAAAGCGGTATTCCCTGCTGGCAAGGCAGTGATCCAGGGCAGAACTGTCCTGCTCGTGGAAGCAGAGCTGAGAGTGTGGAGAGCGCTCCGTAGGTGATAGCGAGGGAGATAAGGTGCGATGGGAGCCGGGCTGGCGGCTGCGGTGACAGCAGAGGGCACGCTTCGCTGCCGAGCACACAGCCTGGGCACCCAGAGCCGGGCACTGCTGGGCTGCTCTGGGTCCCTGGAGCAAGCTGGAAGCGTGGGGGAAAGGAAGCAGTCACAGGAATTCAGAGCAATTCAATCGTCTGCAAAGCCACATGCCCTGCAGCGCTGCGGCAGAAAGAAAGGAACAGAATTGCCTTTGCCACAGCCCAGCGGATGATGG